GACAGTTGAAAGGATACCTCCTGTTCTTTCTATTCTATCCTTGTAGATGTGGTTTTAAAAAATGAAACAAGAAATAAAGTATAATAAAGTTTTTACACTGATTTACTTCGGTGTCTGTTGTTAATATGTAGTTAAGTAAAACTTTAGAAATTAGTTCTCTTTTTTTTTCAATTTTTTCCCTTTTTTTATTTTTAATTTTTGATACTGGGGATTGAACTCAGGTCCTTGTGCTTGTGAGGCAGGCAATGGAACCACTGAGCTAAATCCCTGGCCCTAGTTCTCTTTTTTTAAGATTTATGTTTTGGGCTGGGGATTTAGCTCCGTGGTTTCGCCACCTGCTGCGCAAGCGCAAGGACCAGAGTTCGATCCCCGGTACCAAAAAAAAAAAAAAAAGAAAAGAAAAAAGATTTATGTTTTTAGGAAAGAACATTTAATGGAAACTTCCATTGCTAGTTTTAAAAAGCAGAAATACAAACACTACTTTGGTAGGAAATGAAACTCTTAACAAGACTTAAATACACTTCCAGTATTGTTTTTCAGTAAGATACCTTTCACAACCTTAAATAACATCGAAATCTGATAGAATCTGATACTCTGTTCTGCTGTAAATTGGAGAAAATGGTGTTGTTTCCTCCCTTAAGGAGTTGCTCTTCTCCAGAAAAAAGCAACACCTTGGTGGTGGAGGCTAGTAATGGTCAATTTCAGCTAGTAGTGTCAGTTTCAGCTAGTTGCTTCCTTTGGTTAACAAGGTGCTTCATGCTACACAGTACAAATGGTGTTTAGAGTTGTCAGTGATTTGTGCCATGATTTTTACTTCTAATTTTTTTTTTTTTACTTCCTTACAGATCAGAGGTCCACCATCAAAACACCAAAGATTCAAGACACAGAAGATGATGAGGGGGCTCAGTGGAATTGCACTGCTTGTACTTTTTTGAACCATCCAGCCTTAATCCGCTGTGAACAGTGTGAGATGCCACGGCATTTCTGAGCCAGAAAGCCCTATGTCTTCTCTAAAACCACATCTAAAGTTCAAGAAACCAATCTGTCATCGGGGAAAAGTTTCACTGCTACATAGGATTTTGTCAGATTGAAGGTGTGATGAGATGGTGTTGTGCTAATGTTAAATGTCAGTCCACAGAGCTAATAATACCTCAGTATAATGTCATGGGCAGTTTAAATTCATCACATGAAAGGTAATCTGCTGAAAGACTTGGTTGCCTGCTGCCTAACCATGTACAGTGTTACCAGTATCCCATTAATGGATAATTCTCACTATGTTAATGCCTAGGTGTTCCCAGTACTTTTTTTTCCCCCTCTTGTCACTACTGAATTTTGACAGGAGGAAAGAATGGAATAGTAGCTTTTTTTTTTTTAAAGCTTTCAGTGAAACACTACATACACGAAAAGAAGGAACAAGGTTAACTATTTAAAAACTGTTTGCCTCTACAAAGTGCCAATGGATAGGGGAAGAACTTCACAAATCTGTGGTACTCTTGGCCTTGTGTTTGTCTTCCCTGAAAATGTCTCTGTGAAGCCAGCATCTAGGATCTGAAGGTGAAAGGAGAGCAGCATGCATTGTTTGTACAAACATGCAGTGAAATACCCCAAAGCTTTTCCTACTGTACAGATCTCTCAAGTCGCTTTAAGTGATTTATTATTTTCTTATATTTCTGTATGTATAGTGTAATAGCCTTTTGTTAACTAATTCTTTTTTCTTTTTAGCGATTAAGCACGATCATGTCCCTTTTTAAGCCTTACCTGAAAGAAGCAATGCCATAAAAATTTTAAAAAGCATTAATGAAATGAAACTATGCACAAAATAACTTTCCTCTACGTATTTTGTACTTTGCCCTCATGGGTGCCAATGTTCTGTGAAGATATACAAATGCTGCACAATGAATTGCAGAAAATATTATAAGAATTATGTGGGTAGATCACACTATATACTGATTTGAGCAGTGACTTGAGCAGTGGGTGGCACAACACAGTGTCTTGTCTTCCATAAGGAAGCTTAAAAGATATTTTAACCCACTAACAGGGCTTGCTTCATCTGCTTGGTGTCCCACAGAATTTTCATGAGAGATTTATTTTTGGGAAAGTACAGTTTCAAAACCAGCAACATCAGCAGTACCACCAGCCCTTTTTTTTTTTTTTTTTTTTTGAAATAAGTTTAAATGCTTTACTGTTGGGACAATCTGTTTCTAAACCTGACTTGGTGGCAGTATCATGTGTATTTATAAAACAAGGCTAGTCATATGTAGGACAACTGAAGAAAAGCTGGAAAAAAAAGAAAAACAAGCAAACTTGAACACTGAAGCAACCTCAAGCATCTCTTTATGTTGATGATATATTTTTATAAGGAAAATAAATATTCAGATGATCAGGAATGTATATAAATGAAATCAAGAAAAAACAGTATGCATTTAAAAAGAATTACAAAATTATATATCAGTGCTTAGAATGGGGCTACGGGAAGTGCTGAAATACAGCAAAAGGTAGGAAATAATGTAGACTGTCACCCACTGTAAATGTTTGCAAGTGGCTGTGTTTTAAATAAACAGGATTATTACAGGTGATCTCTATAAGTGTCAGAGCCTTGGCTTCCAGGCTTTGCATTATGTATATGAAAAGAAATAATGACAATCCTAGATAATTAGACATAAACCCAAGCCCTTACATTTGATACATTTTGTTTTTAAAATAGACCTTGTTTTTCAGCTTCATCTGCAGTTCTATGTGAAGATTGACAAATCAGTTTTTACTTGTTTTATTAATAAAACGTAATTTGGATATCTGAGTTGATGGTTTTGTGATTTAGCTGGGTAAACTATCTTTGTAACAGATAAGTTATTTATAAAAATTAAAAAACTTATATTCTAATGTGGATTTTGTGGCTTGTTTTTAAAATTTGTAGGGCAGGAAATAATTTGTATCCCAGCAAAACATTTAATTGTTAATTGATATCAGGAAAAGAAATCATTCTCTAGAATCTTTTCATGACATCATGGCATATTGGACTATTTTTATCAGTTTCTCCAGATTTCATTTTAACTGATGAAAAGTAACCAGATTTCAGCTAAACCAGAAAAGTGAATATTGTTTTTATTTCATTGTGTGCTATAACTTTCCTTCCATTTCTTTTTAAATTCTAAAAAAATTTGCCCCATTATGGAAAACAAACGTGATTTCTTGGGCTATTTAGCGTAGGTAGTCATTTAGCTATTATTCACACCCCATGTTGTGTAGGTGCTGAGGATGGTGGTGCTTCTTTTGAAGAGGACTTTCGTATTCACAGTTTTCAGAAAATTATGGCTCAGCATTTTTCTGAGCTTGAAAAGAATAAAATAGCATTTGCTGATCTCTGTGATTTAGCTGTAGAAAGGCCTGCTTTTAGTTGTCTTTTAAACCTACTAGTAAAGGATATTTGCCACGGAATATGAGGTGTGCATGGACATGGTGGTCAGGAGACTACCTTTGGGAATTACTGTAATAAAACAATGACACGTCTGAGAACATCATGGCAACATGAACTTCTAAGTGTTTCTTGTCATTCATTATTCTCAGTGCTAACATTCTCTGTTCAGAGGAGTAGGGGAATTGTTTGTTCATATAAACTGGATTTTGCAAGAAAACTCACATTAGAATATCAGCTAGTAATTCCTATCATTACTAATATACAGAGATGCTGTTATATTCCAAGTTTTTTATGAACAAAATACAAAAGTTTATTTTTCTTTTAAAGACTCCATTTACTTTTCTAAGTGACCAACCAGAATCAGTCTATAGGCTGAAATTTATATCGGGGAATTGAAATCAGGCTGAAAAGTCAACAGTCCCAAAACTACAATAGCATCAATGCACTTATAAATAGCAAAATTAACTGATATTTCATCAGTTTCCTCTATTCCAATTTAATGTCAATGGCAAATTCTAGGAGCAGTGATAGGTTTAAGAGATGAGCAGTGTAAGATGCAGTATACAGGCCACGAATGATTGAAGTTGACTGTATTAGTCTAGAAAATAATATTAAATGTATTGGCACCAAAGGCTATTCCAGATTTAACATCTGTATGCTGGGTATTAACATAGTTTCCCGTTGAATATTACAAAATACTATATGACAAGTGAACATGCAGTACCTTTGAACCCAGTTTTTTCAAGGTATGATTTTCTGTCCATTTTACTTGAAGTGACTTCACTGTATTTTAATTTTTATTGCTTCCATCTGAAAATACAGTTAGGCACTGGAAAGAAAGTCTCTTCTCTAAAGAAAACATTTTTTCCAGCTTGGTATTTGTTAAATTAGGTCTTTTTCCCCTAGGGTGTACAGTAGACTGGTTTGGGAGGTTAAACGCACCTCACAGAAGTGTTGTAAAGATTAGAGTGAAATGCTGAGCCAACCCCTTCTCTCTCTGTATTAACCTGAAACACTGCATCATGGTTTTGTATGAACAGGTTTTGAGGCATTTTTCTCCAGCAGTGTTAATTAACAGGTAAGTTTGCTATTTATTTTTCTGAATTGTTTTAGGGACATCTCAGTGGAATAGAATTTGGTATTTCAATCACTTAATAGCTGAGTTTCCCCCCTTGTTAATGTCCAAGGTGGGTTGCTTTGCAAAGATTATAAAAATGTCAAAGGCTAACCCAAAGATCAGTATGTTTACATTTCTGTTGCTTGTCCAGCTATCTAAAGAATGTACATTTTATGATGGAGTACAACAAATTATTTCTCCAGGAAAATAAATGCTTTATTGGAAGGACCTAAAGCTAGTGTTTGCACATCTGTATGTTTGTGTTACGTCTAAATTGACCCAAGGTTACTGACTTCCTCTTTCAGCTACATAATACAGTACAGAACCATTATAACTTAACTGATTTTTGTTCCCAAAATGTTACGGATCCTCATGGCACAATAAACACATACTTGAGTATCTTCACCATTAGTAGCCCTGTCCCTATTTACACTGATTGATTCTCCTACCTCCAGGTTTTTTAAACTCTTTATTGCACATTGCGGCAGTGTTATAATACATTACAGAGGAAACACCACATCCACACTCTTGTCCAGAAATCTTCCTTCTTTGTTCACTGGGCTTGCTTTACCTACCCCTGCAGGATTACTTTCCAACAGAATACTTAGAACTAAATCGGCCTAATCACTTCCTTTCATAGGCCTTACATGTCCCAACCACTGTACTTTTTGCTCACTCCATTTTCCCTGTCTCCTTAAATTTAATTTTTCGAGGATCCAGTCAAAGGTCAAGATCATGAGACCTGTCCAAACTGCACCTTCTCTGATAGCACTTGTGATATTTTCTGCCCGCCTGACTTTCCTTGCTGCTTTGGCCCACACACACATAGGTACATATATATCCTGACAAGGTAGGTGTCCTCCTCTTGTGTCCCTACAGTAAATACTTATGCATAGTCAGAGGTCACTAACTGGTGATAATGACTTAACTTTAAGGCTGAGTAATTTCTGACATTCAAGCCAGAGGTACAGCCAGTTTGAGCTTCATATGTTTTCTCACAGGACTGATATTACAAGTGATGGATCCCAGGCTAGACTAATTACAATGTTTTGCATTTGAAGTACTGAAAGTGCAGTATTCTTGGGATACATAAATGTAACAAGAAATAATGTTCTTTCTTGTCTTCTCTGCTACAAGAGAATGGAGAAGTAGGTACTTGCGAGTATTCTGGAAAATTCAGAAATTGGTGTTTGAAATTGAGGTCCCTGATTCTGTTAGTTGTTTGACTTCAATACTTAAAGTTTGTCTTTTCTTGGATACAGGTGCTTGAAAGGCTTATTATTCTTGGACATGATTTAGGGGTATTTTTGTTGTTGTTATTTGTTTTACTCAAATTGAAGTGGAGAAGGAGAGGGGAAAAATTTTTGGAAAGAAGAAATTTGAATGCAGTGTCTAATAGCCCTGTCTTCCTCTTTCCCAAGAAAAGTGGAAAGGCAGGCTCTGAGCAAAAGAATAATTAAATGCAGGGACTATTTGTAAATTGGAGCCACATAACCAAGACACTACCTGAATAATGAGTGACATGAAACAAGCTGCATTTTTATTACATGAGTTGGCTTGAAGTCTACTACCTTTTAATAGAAGTTTTTAATAAAAGTCTTTTACATGACCTTTCATTGAAGTGCCAGACTCCTTTAGTAATAGAACAGCATGTACACATTAGACATTTAATTTATAAATCCAAGCATCCAAACTGCTAAGCTAATGGGAAGCAATCTATACAATTTTGTTCCAGTTGGTGATTGCTAGTTGATTTTTGTTTACGATCTCAAAGCATCCCAAAATGTAAATGATCTTAATGTCAAAAGGGAAGAACAGCAAAGTTTTTAAGACTTGTTTTCTATATTCTATTAACCAGTCATCTTTTCTTCTGTTCAGTCATTAATACAGGTAATTACTGGCTTTGCTTTTCAAAAACACATGGCTCCCAAATTCTAAGGAATCTCTGAACACCTTAGACTAGCTGTCCTTTTTGTCCCTGATCATATGTATGTGTTGTGACATCTAAACTCCACTTTGTGCAGTGCAGAAATCTTGAAACCTGTTCTAGAGTTGTCAGGCATTCATTTTCACAGCATCCATCCACCCATGAACAAAAGGGTTCATTACTGTAATAAGTCTCATTGACTATTCTCAGTTTTCTACACGCATGAGGCTGAGGATCTAAGGGGGAAATCCCTTTCATTATCAAAGAATAATTTAGAAACATTTTAGCATTCTCTAGACAGAACAACTACTTTCTTCCTTCATATAATCTGTTCTCCATTCTTTGGAGGCCAACTTCCTCTCCCACATTTTATAAATTATGATTAAATGTGAGACCTTCGGCACTACAATTAGCATTGGGAAAACTGGCTGCTGCATATTTTGGAACTTGCAAGTGATATGTGTTTTGACTCCAAGCTAGGAGTGTATCCGTTTTTCTACCATGGTGTTCATCAAATAGTGGCCTGCCCAAGCATTCAGAGGGATGTCATGTGTCCGTGTTGACCTTTCATTCAACATGCTTACTTGGGTTTTTGCTTTTTTAATCTTTTTTTTTAATTGATGCTTTTACTTAATGGTTATGCTATTTTATAGAATTACTTTTCTATTATTTTAATTATTTTCTCTTTTAATGTGAACATTCCATCCTGAGTCAATCCCTTTCAACACACAGAACATTGACTCACTAAGTCTTAATGTGAACAGTATTGGTGGTTCTAGCCTCAGGAACAACTAATTTGGTGCTGCAGTCAATGCAGACCAGCTCTGCCCTGAACAAGTCTTTACTAAGATGCTCACCTAAGTGGTCCAAACCACATTTGCCTAGATGGATATTGAGCATGTGAAGTAGAAGTAGCCACCACACTTCCCACTATTTCTCAAAGATAATCAGATTGACTCAAGATTTACTTCAATTGGATAACCGTTTAGGGTTTTTAATATGATTTATCCTGCAGGTACTCACTATGTTAGGTACTGTTCTAAATGGCTCATAAATATTGATTCATGTAACTTCAAAACAACCTAAAGAGGTGGATGATATCTATCCATGTTTTTACTGTTGTAAGGAGAGGTCTGATACCTTGCTTGAGGTCACATACCCAATAAGGGTCAGAGCCAGAATTCAACATCACATCTGGTTCCAGTCATGATTCTAACCACTACAAAGTGCTATCTGAAGACTCTCAGAAGGAACTGCCAACTGACTTTTATTCCCATTTCTTTTAGGGGAATCTCTGATCATCAACTCAATCTGCAGAATCATTTTTTAACATTGTCGACTTTTGTTACTTTCTACTTTGCCCTACCCCATTATGTATGAGAACAGGGTCTCTTGATTTTGTTCACAACTGTATACCCTGTGCCCTTTATGCATTTGACACATAGAAAGTAGGCAACAAAGTTTAAGTTTCTTCAGAAATTTTGTAATGTCTATTTTTTATTTTCTTTCAAATGTTCCTCAATATCACAGTCTTCTCCTAGGGCAGACTGTGCTTGATAACCTGATGCCACCTTAGAACTTGGAAAAGGGAAAGAAGCATGCAAGTGCAGCCAGCCATTATTCACAAATTCCATATAATTTGTGGCTCTGCCTGCTCACTAAAAATGTTCAAGGCACTTTCATTCATGGACATGTCATTCATGGACATGTATAGAGTAGTGACAAGTTTGAATCACCCAATGCTCTTGTTTTCCAAACAATGCCTCTCGCACAGGGAAGGGTTCTGAGTCTGGGAGCACTGTTGCAGAGACCAGGAGAAGGCTGGGTGCTCGTGACTTCTCATCTCAGCAGAGACCCTATACACCCAGTTGTCTCTGCCCTACTCAGAGGCATTTAGAATAAGTGTGGCAGCACATAGATACTGCCATCTATCTATGCCTCTAAGGATGAATGGAGCAAGCTGTCTGGTGAATCCCAGAATGTTGGCCTGAATAATCTGGACTTGCCCTCAGTCTATATAAGTGAGAACTTTGGCAAACCACCCAAATTTTTTTCCTGCACTCTCATTCCTAGGTACAGAAAAAAATTGAGTTTTTTTTATTAATACATGTTTGCAGTACATAATGATTATATCCCTTGTAGAGAGTTGGTACATGTACATGACACATCTTAGTTTTTTCAACCCCTCTCCCTCCATCTCTGGATCCCCTTTCCATTTGAGAAAGATCTATCTCCCTACTTTGTATTTTGTTTTTTATTTTGCTCTTTACTTATATTTTGAGTTTCTCATAACAGAGAAATCATGCAAGAAAAACCTGAGATACTGAGTGTGATCCAATCCCACCACTGACAACCTTGCCCTGACAACTCATCTCTAGCCATGACCTCCAGACTGCCCTAAACAACTTCTACAAGAACAGAGGCCAAGAAGGAGAGCTCTGGACTAAGAGATATTTACAGCCCTCCTTGGGTGGCATCCAACAATGGAAGTCTAGGGGAAATAATTGTCTCCACCATAAATAACCCCATAAGGAGGAATATTGGACTTGTGTGTGTTACTGCTTTTGCTTCTATGGTGTTCTACTTTGTTTTGTCACATTTTCCCACATCAAGTGTTTTGTAGGGTTTTGTTTGTTGGTTCATTGATTGAATTCCCTCTCCTTGTCCTCTTACCTTCCAGTTACTTTCCCTTTCCTTCTCATACACATTTATGTATCTCCTCCCCCACTCCTTTTTTGGGGTGTTTTTTTTTTTTTGGTGCCAGGGATCAAACTCAGGCCCTTGCTCTTGCACAGCAGGCAGCGAAACCACTGAGCTAAATCCCCAGCCCCCTCCCCCCTTTTTGTATGTAAATATCTTTGAGTCCTCTTTGTTGTCTGTTTTTGTTTTGTTCTGTTTTGTTTTTGTTTCCATGACCTCTCAACCTGTTCTACATTATTACTCTCCCTTCTTTTCCTGGTTTACTGAAACAGTAGAGAACTTTTTAATCACTTACCAGTCCTATTATTTAAATACAGGATGACCAAAAATTTCATTTTTTGTTGCTTTTTATAAGATTATTTAACAGGAATATGAAAACAATTTTATCAAATTTATTTAATACAAGAATCAAATGGTTGAAATGACACCTGCCTGAGTGATGCTCAGGATAGTCAGTATGTAAACAATGTGCTGCCCAAGTGATGCTTGAGGTAAACCATTAAATGATTAAATAAGTTTTAAATTATATATCGACATGTAGTCTGTTCCTTAGATGTTTATTTGTAGTTATAATTGCACAACAGTGCTAGGGATTGAACCTGCTGAT